TATATATATAATTTGGAAATAAAATCTTTAATTAATTTTTCTTGGAAATTTTTAATTTTTTTTAATAAGATTCAAATATAATGATATATGTATATTTTTATGCAGATTATTAAAACTTCTTTGGCATATTTGTCGATGTTACGTAGAATTATGTTATGAAGAATTATGGGAAAATTTACTTATAACTCACAATGCTATATAAATCTGTAAATTACAGATAGAGAAATACACTTAAAATATGCGCGAAGTCAACATATGTATCAATTACTGTAATTTACAGTATATACTTTTTTCCAAAAATAGTAGATGGATAAAAAAATAAAATTAAAAAACAATATATCAGATATAAATTTCTCCTAAAATAGATTGAATAAATATAATAGAATTAAGATGTATATTTTTGATCATTTTTGACCAGATTCGAGATACATTGTGTATTATTTTTAGAAATTTATAAAATTATATTTTTACACATGTAGTAATTCCTAGAATCAATTGACAGCAATTTGTATTTATAATCAAATCTACATCAAGAACCAACTGTGAAACATAACGCGATTGGTCTTACTTTGAATTAAACACATATGACTCGAAAAACTCTTATATGCAATTTACACGTTAATTTTGTGCGCAGTAGTCTGTTTCTAGATTCTATAGACAGCATGAAAACAGAAATTACTTGCGCTCCCGCGTTCGTGTATTTGACGCAGTTTCGTGCGAACTCTCGAGGAAAGTATAGTGTAAAACGCGATGTGCAGGCGAGTTGCAAATTCTCATAAACATTATAATACGTTATGAAAAACCATAAGATATTGTATTACATCATTTAACGATTAATTATAAATACCTTTTTTATATTTTTTTTAAGATTAAAAAGATTATGTTTTAACTATATAACATTGTTTTAGAAGAAACTTGATATCGACATACTGAATAGTGTCAATGTAATTTTGTTTTCATAGATAATTTTGTACTATTTCAGTTTCATAGTTCTGAAATATCTGGATTTTCTTTTTTCAACGGTGATCGTGAATTTGACAGAGAAATAATATTCTCACAAATACAATACTTGTACGAATAAACTGTTATATAACTATTAAATTGGTGAGATATCACATAATGAGGACTTTGATAGGACGAATTAGAATTAGATGAATTAGAATTGATGAAGAGAAAGCATTCTATAATGTTAGGTCAAAGATCTTCGTCAAAATATTGTCGAGTTGACAACTTTGTCACATTATTTAACTCCGATTGCAATTATCCTCAGAGATGGTGAGTCATGTTCATGCTTTTATATAACTTATCCTATTTTATCTTATTGTAAATGAATGGCATACAAGAAATGTGTGAAGAAGAAAAGTATTAATTTGAAAATGTACCACCGTCCCGTATTTTTATTATTACTTTGTTTTTTATTATTATTACATTATTATTATTATTACATTATTATATTATTATAATTTCATAAACCAAATTTTCATATTTTATAAATTATTAATTTTTATCTTTAAGTTTTAAAAAAAGTCTCTATATATTTTTTCGAGCTTGTAATAAATGCAAAAAGTAGAAATTTGACCTACTATTTGTAATTTTGTTTAAATATTAATTGTATAAACTAATGTCATATCATTTTTAGGACTTTAAAATAATGAAAATGTAACTCAAGTAATCTATCTAGTGTTTCAACGCTTTCATTTTTATATGCGATTGAGAACGCGCACGTGCACACAATTATATATGCTTTGCAAATGCCAGTCATCTTAGTCAGTGGTTTCGGACAAAGCGTCGTTGATTGTATTACGATCACCCTTGTCTTTCCTATTTGTGGCCAGATGTCTGTTCCCGCTTTGTGCATTAACAATACATTGACACCGAACTCTGTAATTGCAGGCTTGATATGCAGCACGTGATGCGCATATACAATGACTGCAGTGCGAGTATAATTGCACATGCACGCGAGAATAATTATTATTATTCATATCTACAAAGTATTATTAAAAACTATTTCTATGTTTTGTTTAAAGCTATATTTTAGTTTCATGTGCATAAATTAGAACTCTTTAAATTTTTCCATCTTGACTTAAAATAAAGACCTATGTTGAATAAATGATCCTTTATTTTGCTTTTACTTCAAACTTTTTTTTGTCACTTTGACAAAAAATTGAGTATTTTAACTCCCTAAAAATTAACTTTTGAGAATATTGATTTTCTATAATAAATTATAAATATATTTATTAATTTTAAAGTCATAAATTTATATTTATATGATATGCATTTTTTTAGAATAAAAAAAATACAGAATGCATTAAGTGCAACATTTTTTAAGGACTTACTCGAATCCATGGTTATCAAATTTTAGGTAAGTAAATATTGTAATGTGTAATATTGTAATTATATCAACGTAACATTTGATATTTTCATTCAACTTTAAATTAAAATTTTAAAGAGGTTGCTTGTATTATAATATAGTACCATATGTGTGCACTTACCATGCATATGAAATTCATAAGAATCCGGCATATTCAGACAGAACATATTATTTCAAACGTTGCGAATTTTGATCGAAATAGTATAATTAAAAAATTCGTATAGAAAACAATTGAAACTAATTAAAACAATCGAGAAATAAGACACAATGTTAGTTTCCACGAAGAGACGAGACAATCGACTGCCCCACGCTCTATAATAAGCCGTAATTGCAGCCGCGTGAAGGTTGCACATACTACAGTTTATACAAACTATTGCTTCAGTAAATATACGTCTGGAACGAATCGTATCGAACATGTGACCACGACGTTGCGTCATAAAGACAAGTCGTTCATTGGTCATTCTCCTCAGCAATCTTTCATTTCTATAATATGTATATAAAGGCACTTTCGGGTGAAGCATGAGATTGTGTATTATTCCAGAAAAGAATGACGTCATCTACTGTCATCTCTTTTTAATACAAGAGTGATATACAAAGTATTGCCTGTTAAAAAAAGTTTTAAAGACACTAGATGCATATGTTTATTAAAAAATATATAATATATTATATAAAAATATATTATATGTTTTGATAAAACAGTAAATATTTATTATTTAGATACGAAAAATATAATATTAAAATCTAGTGACAATTAGTGTAAACTATTTTTACGACTAAATTGTTGTTCTTTTACTATAATGATTTTATGAAATTGTTGCACTCTCTTTTATTTATAATAAGTGTTCGATCTCTTATAAGATCCGGAATAAAATTAATTTTACATTTTATAATATTACAAATATAAATGTCAAATAAATTAAATATATCGAGATACGTTCGAAATAAAAATATTTCAAAGACATATTAATTAATTAAAAAAGCAAAATGTTAAAAAATGTTTTCAAGTAAGAGATATTAAAGAAAATTTTGAAGGTATTGAAATAACAAAATTTTAAAAATATGAAAGTTAATTAGAATTAAAAAAATATTTTATACATTGCAGTCTTATATATATATATATATTGTTCAATCCTGTTTTCTTATAAAAATAATATAAAAAATAATATAATAAATAATTACAAAAATAATAGAAAAAATTGTGTTGAAAATAAAAAAAAATCATGTGCACAAGAATGAATTGAATTTCTTTTATGTATTTTAACATTCAATAAAGTAAATTCCAATGCAGTTGTATAAAATACAACAGTTCAATTTACGCTTTATTTATATTTTTTCACAAATTGTCTTTTATTACAAAAGATTTTATTTATTTATAATTAATTGACATGGCGCATGGAATACATACACACGAGATTTTTGTCTACATATAAAATCACGTAGTATTATGTTACGCAATATTATGTACAGATACGAAAAATATAATATTAAAATCTAGTGACAATTAGTGTAAACTATTTTTACGACTAAATTGTTGTTCTTTTACTATAATGATTTTATGAAATTGTTGCACTCTCTTTTATTTATAATAAGTATTCGATCTCTTATAAGATCCGGAATAAAATTAATTTTACATTTTATAATATTACAAATATAAATGTCAAATAAATTAAATATATCGAGATATGTTCGAAATAAAAATATTTCAAAGACATATTAATTAATTAAAAAACCAAAATGTTAAAAAATGTTATACATTGCACTTACAAATATTATATATAAATTTAAATTGTGTCAATAAATTTGGATGATAGCTTTGTAATATTGAGTTATGTCAATTACAAAAGTAAAAAAGATTAGCTATACTAACAGCACTACATGTGTATTACATAAAATGCCTTGAATGAATGGTGCTGCAGAATAATCATCGATCGAAATGTTAAAAGATAAACGGGAAACTGTTCGGTAATAAATATTATTTCTGAAAATTCTAAAATAGCTAAATTTTTTTAATTACAATAAAATCACATAAGTATTTTCATCCGAAATATACATATATGTATTCTGTGATTATAAGAAAGTCATTTCTCTTTTTTACGATAGGGTTAACTAGAGTAGGGTAAACTATATCATTATTGGCCACCTGATCATTATTGACCACAATATTTACTTTAGTCATAGAATTCTTATCGCATCGGAAACAATATACAAGTACATAATTGTACTCTAATCTTATCATAATTTAATTCTTATATATTCGAAATAAATAAAGGACCACTGCTCGAGTAACTCTGTAAATTGAATAAAATATCAGTCATTAAGACTGTTAATTACATGTCTTGACATGTATTTATTGCTAATATTTTCAAGGTGTTATACTATTTGAATTTTCTGTAATACATATCGTAATTAGACGATATTATCGCCTGAAAATATTGAATTTTTTAAATCGTTCCTAATTAAAACATACGAATAGTGTAAACATATAAAATTATCTAATCCTCGGCAGATTATAATTATCATATATGCAATGGCCAATAACTCTATGATTTATCCTAACGAGCGGGACTAGTGCCGCCTTTATCGGGGCTTATGAATGGAATTTTCGTCGCAACATATAATTGAGCAAGAGACAATAACACTTTAGTATACTTTAGTATATCTAATATCAAAATGTTCAAATATATCAATCTAATAATATTGAAACAAACTAGTTGGAGCTTCTACATATTTATGAGAAAAGAAGAAAAAGAAAAAAAACAGCGAACAAACAAAATGGCACCCTGAATCAAAGAAGCACGGTCTGCGAAAATGATATTTAATTTGTCGTACAGCTCCTTAGTACGTCATATTAATTACATTAAATCGACATAGGGCGTAATAGTGATTATGAGATTATGGAATGTACTTTCATCCTGAGCTAAGAGTCTATGAATGAGAAAAGAATGTCTACACAAGCGTTAGGAATGAGATGTCCTTGTAAAGTCCTTTTTAATAGTCGAGACCCCAGTGGAAGAGACATTGACCTTGTAGGCATTGCTCTTTATCTCAGAGGGATGCTTGTGAGTGCTTGTTGAAGATTTTCTAAGTGGTTTCTGTATTTGTGTCGTTGACAGTCCACTCACCGGATACTTGCTCCTACTGGACGTCGTGCCATTGCTTCGTGTACCACTCTTCATGGGTACAGCAGTGGAAGTTATTTCGCTGGGATGCTTCGGCAGAACAAAAGCTTTTGTCTGCTTTAGCAGGTATTGATCGTTACATAGCGCAGAAATTAATGGTAAATCTAAATTACGACTTTTCTCGCGAAGCGTTCGGATATCTAACATATCATCACTTTTCCTTTCATCATTTTCTTCTATACCATTGCTGAGTTTCTTAAGTTTGTTTGTTGTCGTAGTTACCAACGAGGAAGTTGCCACTGAAGAAGACGATGGCAGTGGTTGATTCTTATCAAGATTCTAAAACAAATAACATGTATTACTATTAAACATAAAATATATATAATTTTATCAAATATTTATAACTATATTTATAACTATATTTATAACTATGTTTTAAGGAATTTAATCTATCTTTTTTTAATCTGAAGGAATTAAGAGCAACAATAAAAATAATATAGAATATTTACAAATACCTAATAAAGATATCCAAGTTCTGATTTTGAAACTTGATTACAAATTTAAGAAATTTGATATTTCATTTTGTGTTACCTGTATTTCGTAGGGCGGTGGTGGTGGCGGTGGCGGTAATCTGCGATGCTTGGATTGCGGTAGAGACTGCATCTTATTTGTGAACAAGGTATTCAAGCATTTGAGAATATTCTCGTCACTTTTGGTCCGCGAGAACGCATTCAACGTGTGAGGGTGAGTTGGTACGGGCGGCTCTCTTCTGAGACTGTGACTACCCGTAGACGAACAAGTTGCACCGCTATACAGCGAACTAGTGCTAGCAGCATAGTGACTATTCAGATTGCCTTGCAGATAATTACCGCTGGAACTGCCTGTGTCACTAGAGCTGAGATTTTGGTTGGACGCATATTTGGATTGCGAGGAAAAAGAGGAACCGGGAAGGTATGGCGTGCTACGATACATCACTGAAGATTTGCTAAAGGAAGGATACGGTGGAGGCGGATAAGCCGCCATAGCCGCCAGAAGGGAACCTTGTTTGGCGTCGATATACTCTTGCTTCGACACCGCTGGATCTTTGAGCGGAAACATAACATAATCAACATCGGAATAAAGTTGTTGTTTGTACTGTTCTATTTGTGATCGAGAAACCTGACTCGTATAGACGGTCGCCAAACTTGATGCTGGTTGCGTTGATGGTGGTGGCGGTGGTGGTGGTGGCGGCGGTGGTTGTCGCGGATGTATTATCGGTGGCGGTGGTAAAGGAGGCGGAGGCGGTGGTGTCGTCAAATATGGTAGAAGTACCGGACCGCTTCGGGAAGCGTGTACGTCTAGGTAATTGTTTGGACCTACTACGAGAGCGGCAACCGGAGCATGTACAGGTGTGGGTTTCATTTTATCGCCTGGGTAAGTGGGAGGTTGGATCCTAGGCGGTGGTTTTGGTGGCGCGATATTTCCGGCGACGTCGTTGATGATTTTTACTACTTTCGTTACAGAGCCAATCGTCGCTGACATGTCGGGATAGGGCGGCGGAGGTGGTGGAGGTTCTCGTGGCGTCACCGCGTCATTTCGTGGTGGGGTGGGTGGTGGTATTTGAATCCTCTCTCGTGACGATGTATACGAAGGTGGCGGCGGTGGTGGATCGGTTCGTCTAGGTGGTAACGGGACGAAGTCACTGCAAGTTTTGTTGTATGGTGGTGGCGGAGGTGGTTCACGTTCCCGAGCCAATTCCGGTATGCCGGATCTCTTTGAAACGTTGATTGTTGCGTAGTCAATGCTTTCTATCGGATATGGCGGCGGTAATTGTCGATCACTGTCCGTTCTAGGTGGCGGCGGAGGTGGAGGTGGCATCGTCACGTAATCGCAGTCCGAGTCCATCGAATTGCTAATAGTTTTACGTGGGGGATACCTGCCGACTATCAAATCCGATAACTCGTCAGCCGACAATAACGGCCTCGCTTTGGATGGATCGCTACCATCGCCTCGGAAACTGCTCACGCTGAGTATGCTATTGCTTCGCGAGCGTGAATCTTCGAGCTGTCGGTTCAAGGAGACCTCGTCGTCGTCACCTTTGCAAAGACTATATATCGGTTCCTGATCTTCCGCGCCGACGTCTTCCGTATAACTGCTTTCAGATCGTAATCCACTGTGAATAGTATAGAAACCGGATGTGATAGACGCTTCATCAGTGGTAGACTGAACGGAGCTCAAGGCACAAACATCGCTCGCCGCAGAGGATGCGTTGGTATCACCCGTAGGCAAATACAAATCATCGCCGATTCTTTCGTCTTGAATCTCACTGCTTCTCAGTGTATACACGCCACTAGTCTCGCTCGCAATATCAGTACCTGAGAAAGATCATTCAAAGGTTACGTGACTATGCTTAATTTCAGAAAGCGAATGAAAAACAGAAAAGATACCGAAATTTATATTCTGTGCACGTATTCTTAATAAGTGTAAAAATCAAAGAAATGTAGTATAATACAGAGGGATAGTTTGGTCTGAATAATTCTAAAAAGGTTTCACAGTATTTTGACTGTGTCGACAAAGCTATTTTTTAAACTAAAGCTACTCTTCTCTTTCTCTCACCTGTATATTTACCTGTCTTCTTACACCTGTCATAAATAGCACCCGGAAAACTAGCTGTCTCCGTGGAAATTGTCGAATTTTGTGCTGTATGCGAGTAACCTAACTCCAAACTAGAGGTCGCAGAAGCCCGGCGCATTCGCGATGGTCCGCCTGTGGATGTATTAACGACAACTACTGTACTGCAACTGCTGCTGCATTGTGAGCCCTCGGCGGCGGTCGCGGCACTTGACGCGAGACGTAATACCACCGATGTAGAAGTGGCGTCGGAATTGTCAATCTCTGAAAATTATCCCAACATGTTAATCTACTTTTCACCGCGACGATAAAAATACGATCAAATCGATAAGATGTATGTATTGGCGAGTCATAGATTCCCTATTTTAAAGAAAATTACATATCCCTGCTGCAAAGTCCTATCGGGAATTTTCCTATAGGTTTGCCTAACTATGGGTATCCGTGGTAAATTCAACTGATCCTCATAGGAGAAGACTCCTATCTTGCTGTGAATTCCCATTACATAGAGGACTATAAGATTCTGTAAGAGCTTGTATAGATATCTACAGGATGTACAGAGCATGTATTGTATATATAAGATATTTTGAGAAATTTTTCTACAAGGAAATATGTTTTACATAGGAACCTATGGCATGAGTCTATGAAAAGAGACTCTTAGAGAATGGCATGAGAAAAAAAATGATATGCACATTGATGCAATCGAAATCGATATAGAATGTCCCATATTTGGGACTATTTTCGTGTGCAGATGAAGAAAACTAAATTGAATTGAAAAGTCCTGTGTAAATCTTATTATATATAAGATTTACACAGGACTTGAAAAGTCCTGGAAAAGTCCTGGAAAAAAAGGACAGGAATTGAAAAGTCCTGTGTAAATCTTATTATATATATATCCTGTGTAAATCTTATTATATATAAGTAACTTACATGTGAAGATAAAATTAAATTTACCTAATAATATCTATATTTGTAAGTGTTATTTAAAGTAATCTCATTTTAAGAAAAATTAGGATATTCTGATCTCAAAAATAATTTTTTTCAAAAATAACTTTTTTTTAAACTTAATTCAATCTTAACTTTTATTAAATTAATTCTTTATTCCTTCAACTTTTAACATAATTTTATTAATTTTATAAGCCATTAACTTAATTTAGTTTAAAAAAACATTAATTTACCCAACCTTGGTGATATCTTATAGACCTTTTAGTTCTCATAGGACATCTGTCCACATTCCTGTGAATATTTATACTAACCTATTTGCCTTCCTATGAATGTCCTACATATACCTGCTATGCAAATCCTATAGCTAACTACACAATCTTACCTACAGAAATCTACCTACAGAATCTTATAGTCCTCTATAAGAATTCGAAAAAAACCTATGGTTATATATGGTAATACGTGTAACGCGATATGTTCCTTTTTATTTCGCAAACTAAAGATAGACTAATAAATAAACAAAGTTCGAATTTAATGGTTTAAATAGAAATCTATTATATGACAAAATTATACATATCGAAAAATTCATGTATGAGAACGTAATATTTTTTGTCAGTAACGAATATAAGAAATATAACTATTCTTGTGGTAAATTTTTTTACTCAAACATTAATAAAAATAAAATTTTTATTATTATTATATATTAACTAAACTTACCGTCAATAACAGAAACGGAAGAAGGTGGCATAGAGTGATTATCTGTATCCCCATTCGTGCCATTTAAAACTCTACTCTGGCCATCTGAATAAGATATCGTTTCTAAGGTAAGACGAGGCAAACATTCGGTCGATGCTGGTGCAGTATCAGGTTCATCTTCGCTATGCACCCGATCGCTGACAATACCAGATGTTGTATTCGAGGATGTACTCGAGATGACAGAAATTCGTTGATCACCACGCGCACCGCGCGTCGCTAAACTCAACTTACATCGAGTAGGGTACATGTAACAATCCCTCAAGACTTTCCGTTCTACAAATTATATTTAATCTATTGTATTATTATAATTCATCACTAATATATCACGATCTAATATTTATTTAATTTCCTTTTAATGGTTTTAAGGACGAACGCAAGAAAAAGAATAAGAATTAAGCTTAAGAAAGAAAACGGAAAAAATGTGTGTATGTTATGATATATGTACATGTGGTTGAAGAAAAAAAAAGAGATAAAGATACAGAAAAAGAAGAAAATTATCTTATAATATTTTAAATAGATTAAACGAAGAAAATTAATAATATTGCGCGATTAATTAATTAATTGCTTAATATGGATAGTCATTAATAAAAAATACAAAGTAAATTCACCTTCTTCTTCTCGTTTCATAGCTTCATTTACTCTAGGCGCTATAGCCATAGAGAACTGATGGGTGTCACGGCAAAGTCCCAAGAGGAGTTTACTCTTGTCATCACATCCGCTGTAGAGGGTAAGTTTTTCCGGCTGATCAACTGCACGGATTTCGAATTTTTTGCGCTGCATAAAAAAATACAAAAAAGTTTTTAATTTTTAAATATGCTTAGATATTTAAAAAAAAGTTAATTTAAATTATCAAATACAAATAACGGTACGAGAAACTAATTTATCTTAAAATGTATAGCATAAGAAATAATTTAATATTGTTCTGGTAAACGAGCAGAAACTTGGAAGAAGACATTTTTTTTCAACGCTTACATCAAAAGAGAGTTTGCCGATATTGTTCCAAGCGAAAACGCGCGGCGTCTCCTCCTCGGCGTAGATTCGCACTCCACGAGCGCAAATTGCCAGGAGTATGCGGCCCGGTCCCGCCTCGTTCTTACTTCGGCGCAACCGATACAGGTGAGCGTTGAGCGGCGCCTCCAACAGCACTGCCTCCCGGATATATTGCAACTCTGCCTCCTCTCTAGAGAGCCCACTGTACTCTCTGTGCTGGGCTGCAAGCACGGTGAGCACGTTCGACTCGAGGCACATCTAAGAGCATTCGAGACAGATTAAAAGATTATAATCGTAATCCGAAGTAATTGTGCGAAAAATACATAGCTGTTTTAAAAGGAAATGTTGCACGCATTGTAAATGTATTAGTGTTCATATATATGGAGAACATGTTATCAATTACTTTGATCATTTAACATATTATATAAAAGTATTAATGTCATTGAAAAATAAATATAAACTATCCAGTATTTGCTGATATCTAGATAATCTAAAAAAATTATTTAATAAAATAATCTAGATAATCTAGATAAATAATCTATATAATCTATAATCTAAATTATTTAGATAATCTAGAAATTATAATCTAAATAGAATAATACACTATAATATATATAAAAATATATATAAATATATATATAAAATAGATCTTCATCTTAGATAATTTGAAAAAGATAATTACGTAGATAACTTGAAAAAAGATAATATTTTTTTATCTAAAATACAGATGAAGATATATAGGGAAGATATATTGGATGTTTTATATTCGATGCATCATACTTGCTAATGACAGATTCTTAAAGTCATTTTAAGACGAAAAAATTCTAATATTAAAATGTTGAGGCTATAATATTTTTTTAATTATAAGCATTTAAAGTTAGCGAATCATATTGCCTAAAGTCCTTTTTGATATTTTATTTATTCTATAATACAACGCAAAATGCTAATCATACTTACACGCGCAAACTTTAAGTGATGAAAACTATTATAACCTCGACATTTTGATATTAAAATTTTCGTCTTAAAAAATCTTCAGGAATCTGCCACTAGATGCGTTAAGTTTAAAATATCTCCTATATATTCTAATAAAGATAAGATAGAGTCATTTTATTTAGATAACTCATTTAAACAAATATATAAAATGAGGCTCGAAAGAATCTATCAGTGAAAAATATAAAAAAAAGCCATCAAAACCTACATCGGCTGTTCGGATACACAGAAAATTTTTTATTCTTGTGTAACAAATTAAATATTTAATTCGTTTTCTTACATTCACACGAGAATAAAGAGTTTTCTGTGTATCCGAACAGCCGATGTAGGCTCTGATGGGCTTTTTTTATTAATTTTCACTAATAACTTATCTAAATAACTACAAATACTGAAGATATCTCATATTTTATATATTTATATAATAATTCAATTCTTTTTAAATCAAGAAAAATCCGTAAAATACAGCTTACATGGGAAGGAAGGTAATCCGTGGATTTGCAATAACCGACAGATCCTGCATGCGGTCTGTGACGTTCTTCGGAATAATCGCCAAGGTCGGCTTGAAGGGCAAGCCCAGCGAGCACCAACAATGACGTGACGATAGATGGTTCATGAAGGGGATGGTGAGGATGGAGGCTCTCCACCCCACCGCCGTGCCTGACGACATTGTCGCGCAGTTGCAGGTAATAATGATGCCGTGTCGTCTCATCGCTGAAACAATAACACGAACATTAAAATATTTAATAAATGTTTTAAAATTATGATCGATACGTGAAATATACTAAAAAGACTTTTCTAAAAGATAAACGATATGTTATTATAAATATGTAAAAAAATGTTCAAACTCAACAACAAGTTTATTTTATGCTGAAAAGAATAAAAAAGTTAAAATCTTTAAGAATTAAGTTGCTTTTAAAATACTAACAGTTCAAAAACAAAGAAAGATAGGAAATTATTGCTACAAAAAATATTAATTATAAGTAGATATTACAACTTATAATCGATATTATAAGTGATTTAGGCCTGGTTGCACTAACATTATTTTGATTTTAAGCGAGGCTTAAAACTCTTTTTGTCTCTTTTTAGCTTTAAAACGAGACAGAATTTAAAATTTCTTAAAATCAAAGTGACATTGATGCAATTGGACCTTAGAGCTTCTTCAACACGTAAAAAGTGGATTCAAACAAATGGGTATATTTCTTGACTGAAATTAGAAGCATTGGCAAAGAGACTCGCGCGCTGGGCGAGACTCGTAGCACAAAAAGTAAACCTTAAGGGCAACGTGCAGTGAATCGTCAAATTTAATGTAAATTACAGGGTTTCGTGTGTCGAAATAAAAAAGAAACCAATGCGAATCGGATAATTACCGAAGTGCTCTGAAAATGCCTCCATTTTAGGTGTACGGTCTATTTATCATGCTCCGCATAATTACTTTATAATTATAAGAATAGGTAGCAATACTCAGCTACTGGACGAGAATCCGGATTTTGACTCACGAATAAAATTTTCGTCTCAATATCCCTGCAATTTTGCATCTTTCTTTTTCTATATGCACAAGTCTTTTTTGCGTTTCTTTCTCTTTCTATGGCGGTACCTTTTAATCAGCACGATACCGACGGCATCTTTTAGACATCGTCTAAAAGGGAACAAATAGCCGAACACATTTCACATTTCGCTATGCTGACAATTCCAATGTATGACATATTCAGTGCCATGATTAATTTCGGAATCGAATTGAGGAAACATCTATTCTTTTTTCGAATATGTGATCAATTAATTGAAAAGCAAACATAATTTTATATTTTAAAGATTTAAAAGAGAGATTAAGATTATAAAAAAATAGTTCGTTTGGAATAAAATATTTGTATGTTACCTTAAAAGTAATGGTGTATCGATATAGAAACGAACTCGAAAGTATAGGACAAAGGCTGGTCTTCCACTGCTATCCAAACCCTGAAAATAATATATACATATAAATTACTATTACTAAATATTACAATATAACGTATAAAATTGTTATTCTGTTTTAATAATGACCATCAGATTATGTATCGTGATTGCTTGGAATATTGTTCAATCACACATATGCTTTCATTATAGAAAAATTTGATAGGAATTTTGATTTTCTTGAAGAAATTTGTGAATTATCTAAAACGATTCACAATTTGAAGGATACAAATGTATTATTTACATCATCAGGAGACACGGTATGTCTTAGCGCTAATTTAAGATCACCGCGAAAAGGAAGTTTTTAACGAACACTGTAAAAGAATGAGTCCACAGTTTCACTCAATTCAATCATGGCTGAGGAGAACTTGAGTCGAAACTAGTTTCCATGCACGATTCAATTAGAAATAAATAAAAAATATAATTTTTATATCGCACAAATATACAGGAAAGCTTATTTTCTATCACTTATAAATAATATGAAATGATATGAATTTATTAATTATCTTTTTTATATCAAATAATGACAAATTAATGACGAGAGATCATATTTTTTGTAAGTATAAACATATATTATTGTTTGAATAAATTTTCTAACATTTGAATTTTTAATAAGTTATATTTTTCTGTCTTTCTCTCTCTCTCTCTCTCTCTCTCTCTCTCTCTCTCTTGTTTTATTTTATTCTCCTTCTTTCTCTCCTTCTAATTATAATAAAACAATAAGCAATGAATAAGCAGCTACTTACATATGTATGAGAATTTCGCCAATTCTTTGGGGCGTATTTGCTCAGCTTATTCTCAGGATCCACAAATAGGTATTCGCCGTCTGAAACAAAAAAATAATTCGTTTGTTTCAACAAAAAGTTTATTACTGTATGACCATCGAATATTTAAAAATACTCTACGCAATTTTTTCAAAATTGGCATTGAATTTAAATAATAATTTATATGAACTGATATATCGTGTATTGAATTTTACAGCATAATTGGACACTTGCATAAGATATATGTACTCCACGGTTTCTGATACAGCAATTGAGAACTCTCTCTCAAAGATTTATTTCCTTCGCACGTTCTTTTGTATGATTGACAACGTGAGATGCCGATACTTCTTAAATGAGTGAAACAATGAAAGAGATCCTGCAAGATGTTAGTGAATGAGGGAGTCTTAAACCTGTCTACATGGAACCAGACGCTCAAGCTCTTATGACACGATAACGTGACATGTTTTTCACACTGGAACTCGATTTGAAACTGCGAATGCTGATCGGGGTCCGTAATCGGAGTTTGGATCTTCAAGGCTTCCGAACATCTACAATTCCCAATGCAATCGTCGTACTGGCAAACTAGTTGAAACTGTTGTTACATGCAAATGTAAAACTCTCACGATAGAACAACAGTTGCCCAATATGAATATGGCATAAGTTTATTTTCGGCAAGGTATATATAAAACTATCAGCATTTCAATTTCAAAATCCTAATCAATTGCTTTTTTCTTTAGTCAGATTTAATTTATCTGACAGTAAACTTTCTGTTTATTATCTCCTCTTAAGAATAAGAATTATTATAAACGTTGTAATTAAAGTTTCGAATCCCGTAGATTATATGATTAATTTAAATTTAAATGATACGCATATTTAATGTCTTACCATATATACTTTCTGTTATAAAAATAATTTTTGTTCTAATTTTATATATAATTTTTTCCTTCTCTCCCTTCTCTCTCTCTCTC